ACACACGCACACACGCACACACGCACACACACGTACACACACACACACGCACACGCACACACGCACACGCACACACGCATACACGCACACACACACACACACACATCAAACACCCGCGTGACCACAGAGACACACAGACGCGCAGACTCACAGACACACAAGTCTGTTTGAATGTTCGCCAGTGTGTCTAAGGCTTTGAAGAGCTAAAGCAGCTTTTTGACAAAGCTCGGATGCAGAGTGGCGAGGAGCCAGGAGCAATGCAGGCAGGTATCAGAAGCTACCGGGGCAGGGATGCTCTTTCTTGCTGCGCACGTCGTGGGGCTCCAGGTGACGCTCTCGACGCTGATGCACTTGCTTCGCTTCATATCACAGAGCGGGCTACGCAGCGCTTTTGGGCGAGAAAGCGAAGCCTGAGACTTGGAATTGTGCGAGTCCATCTTTGTTTTTTCATGGCACAAACACGAAAGCTTTTGCATGGAAACTTGATGGTACTTCTTGCAGACATGTGCTGGTACGCAGGCCTTCGACGTGGAAGGATGTTGCTTGGCAGAGCACAAGACTCATATGCGCATCCTTGGGACTTAAACCGTGGCATGGCAGGCTCTGAAGCGGAAGTTGCGGGTTATCGTGACCTTTTCCGGAAGCTGCAGAAATGGAACTTGCCACTTTGCATAATGTGTCCAAACTTTGCAGTCGTGGAGAGAGTCTGCCATAGGCCTCTACCCCTGCCTCCTGGTGTCTCGCCTGCTGTTAATGCGCTGCGCTGCATCAACGCATCGTGTGCCACGTGAGGAAGTCCAGTCGCGCGGCGGTTATCTGAATCTGGACTGACCGTGCCGGACTTGTCGCAGCCTTGGAGAACAGCCAATCGCTCATCTTGACCAAATGTCTCCATCTACTTCAGGCCGATGACTCCGCCACCTCCAGCTCCTATGACAAAGGTATGCAAAAAAGGTGGATCAGGCAAGGATTCTCTTGAAACACAGGTACTCGGAGACTCCTTATTTGCTTTTCCACGCTTTTCCTGTGAAGTGTAAGTGACAAACTGCTCTGGGCTTTGTTTGGTGGGTTGCAGACACCCACTGGATTTGGAAGGTCTGAAACAGGAGTATCCGGAGATTTTAAAGAAAATGAAGACCGCCACTCAGATTTCGGAAGCTACACCTTGAACCCACTGGAGACCCAGACTTGCCCATCGAGGTCAGCTTTGGCTGTGCCGAGCTCCATTCAGCAAGTTGATTGCTCAGTGCTTTAATTCACGCGAACCGGTTGGCTGGCGCTCTTCCGAATGACTGCGTTGAGTTTGTCTCGTTTGCGCCCATTTCGCCGTGAACAAGTTGTCAGAGTGCACAGGTTTCATGCGCGGCAGTCCTTGTCTCAGATCCTCAAGGGTAGAACTCGGGCATTTTCTTGCCTGACTGCCTGGCTGCCTGACTGCCTGGCTGCCTGGCTGCCTGGCTGCCTTACAGCCCAAGGTCATGAAGTGTCTTCGCCGCTTGGGCCAGCGGTGCGATGAGAAGCTGACACCAGCACAGCAGCCAGAAGCTCAGAATAGAAAACACCATGTTTTTCGGACAGCTGGTTTTGCCTCAGGGCAGAGCTCTGGAAGAAGATCGAGGACTTCAGTCACTCTCTTAGGTGATCGAGTTCAATCAAGTGGTTGCAACTGCCTTCTCGAGGTATTTGTAGCCAGCGCGATACTCTGGACTTCGCAGCTTTTGCTTGCGCCTCAGGTTGTTTGTTGGCTCTTAGGACATCAGTCCATGCCAAACTTCTTTTGTATTCTGTCCACGCCAGGTCCGCATCATGGGATGGGTCCAACGAACAGACTTTGCCAGTATCCGCCAACAGTCCGACAAAGTCGGATCATTTTTTGCACTCGCAGAGTCCGTGATTGCTGGCAAGTAAGATGCCATTCTTCCAGCTCGCTCTCGAGCTGTGTAGGGAGGGTGTTTGCAGGCCTTCGGTCGTAAAGCTCCATCGGATATTTGAAGCTGCTTTGCAGATGAATTTGGGGCCTAGACTCAGGTTCTTTAACCTTCTATTCTTGACCAGCTGCAGGGCTTTGCATAGAACATGTTCTTGGATGCGCCCGAGCCCGGTATATGGCTGAGATTCTTGAAGCGCCTAGTCTTTCGGCGATCAAGATCTTCCAGTTCCTTCTTGCAGTTTCACACCTGGCACACAGTGGATAGGAGGCGAAGCAGAGGAGCAGGCATGACCTGGACAAAAGAGAAATCTTCGCAATCAGTGTGTTTGCAAGTGAAATCAAATGGACAGGTCTGGACCAGTGTTGCTTTCCAGAAGCTTGCTTCAATTAGCCTGTTTTCCTGCCATTGGAGGCTACAGCCTTCGTATTGCGACAGGGAGCAGTGAAATCGTTGATCGCTTGCCCGCTCGAGACGCAGCGCAAAGGAGAAATGCCGTGCCTATGGACTAGTCGGAGTCGTTTGATATCTGATTACCTGCACCAGGCAAGTCGCAGGTGTGAAATGATGAACGCTCAAGAACTTAGGGCACACATGCACACACAATTTTTGGGGGTGCTTCCAGACAGCCCGCACCAGTCTTACTGACTGCAGAGTGATAGGCAAGTAAAAGCCAAATCGCTGTGCAAGCAAGTGGATCATACTGCAGTATTGTGACGGAAACAGAAGGCAACTCTTGCTACTCTTTATTGCTTCATCCACCTGTTTGGCCAGAAGCTTACGGACACTTACATGAGGCATGTCGCTCATGTTTGAGACACAGCCTGCGAGGTCGTGCCCAGCATGGCCACGTTCCCAAAAGCCTTCAGCTCATAGCTTGAGCACGGCTGAACGTATGAGGCGCAAGGCTCAGCGCAGCTGCAGGAGTGACACTGCAGTGCCAGCAGCAAGCCACAAGACACGCATCGGGAAGGATGGAGACCTGAGGAGCTTTTGCGCAGGCCGCCTGCGGAGGTGGCGCAGTGGGTCGTGCAGCAGGCAGGTCTGAATGTGCAGTACATTCACCATACGAGTGATATATAATCCCGATCCAGGGCCCGGTACCCCCCCCCCACCCCCACCCCCCCCCCCATGTCATTGAGGAGGGAGGGAGAGGGAGGGGGGTTGCGAGTGAGATGTTGTGTCATGAAGGCGCCCCGACAACATTCAAGCAGCCCTAGACCCTGACTGAAAAGGCAGCATTCGTCTAATGGCCAAGCACCCGCACTCAACCAACTCAACATTGGGGGGCAGGGGGGGGGGGCTGCAGGCCTGATATATATATATATATATATATACATATATGCCAGGCCCAGTCTCTCTCCGACCCAGCGGCGCAAGTGGAAAGCCTGCCGATTTTCCAAGTTGCAGGCCAGGCGCATGCTGATGCAAGCTGCTGAACAGGGCTTTGATGCCAGGTGCTTTAAGTGCAGCCTCCACAGATCAGAAGCAGGCTGTAGTCAGCATGGGTCGATGGCATGTACTTGAAGATTTGGTGGGTATGGTGTCGTTAGGGTGTTTGAAGTGTGTGTGTGTGTGGTTTGATGTATGGGCAAATTTTGATTTACTCAGCTTAGGAATTGTCATGGGAATGACGTGGACAGCTTTGTAAGACTCATGTGCTTGAGGGGAGGGAAGGCAACAAATATAGAGCCGCTTGCAAGTGTTCGGCTCAAGGCTGATATTTGTTCTCCCGGGTTCCACGGTTGCATTGGATTGCAACTGCCACAGCTAAGCGAAGATGAGGAAAAGCAGACACGGAACTCTTAGGCCAAGGTGTGCAGGTGCGTGCGTGAGCTTGCGCGCAATTTAGCTTTTCTTACGCGCTTAGATTTGTTTGAGCTCACGAATAAGTTCGACAACACCAGCCGGTTTCCTTGCGCCCGCCTGTCCCACGACACCGTTTTCCTTTGGACGCCCACAGGCTAGTGGTTCAGCGCCATGAGGATCGCGTTATTTTTTGGCACCGCCACACGTCCGTGCCAGCGCGCCGCTGATTCGTTTTTGGTCTTGGCCTCTTGGAAACCCTCCGCAAAGTTCAAACGCCATAAAAAGTGAAGCAGAGTGTGCCTCCAATGAGTGTTTGAGGCCAGTTGCCCGGCAAATTCCCGCCTGGGACTGAAGAACGCGAAAACGAAGTCGCGCGCCCTGCTCATTTGTTTTCGGTTTTGGCCTTCTGGAACCTGTGGCCCACACACCCAAAATTGAATTGGTGCGCCTTTTCTGTGTATAGAAGCAGGTGAAATTGAATCATTGGCATCGCAGCAACTACAAATATGCCTGGCCAATACAGTTCGGCGAGCTGTTCAGGCAAAACAAAAACCAGTTCATCGTCTCCATGCCTTTGCCTTATTTAAACAGTGATCCAATCACATGGCGGCTAAGCAGTCCAAAGCAACTCAATCAAACGAATGTCGGAGCTGTGCCCCGTCCCTGACTCATTCCCAATGACGGCAGGAATTGATGAAGAGCGCCATCTCCGGCTTCGGGAAGCTCCCAGCGGGTGAACGCGCCGAGGCCGCGTGCTTCTGGCTTCCCCATCTGGGACTTTTGCCGGGCAACGTGTGAACCAATTGGCGGCCAGAGACGTATGCGTTTGCAATGCGACAGCGAACCTGCAAAGGATGGGAAAGATAAGCTGACTTTGGGAACCTGACATGTGAGGTCCTCCGCCTGGCGGTGAGTGCCACAGTGCAGGTGAGGACAAGATTCTGACTTGTGAGTGTGCTCCAAACATCAACAGGCTGGTGGCTCTGGCACAGTCAGCCCGCCATGATTGGTTCACGCCTTGCTTTTTCACCTTCCATGGCATTGAGCAGGCGAGCTCCAATGCTGGCCCGCTGACGCGGGACACAGCCTTAGCTGTTGTAATCAACACATTTTTGAGCATCGATCTGCTTGGGTCATTGTAGAAAGCCGCAGCTCACGAATCATAGCAAGTTACTTGCTTGGCTTGTGCATGATATCCATGTTTTTTGCTTGTTGAGCTTATTCGTCTTGTTCCTTGTCTTAGTTGAGTGGCTCTGCCCGTCCATGCCTAGAACGTGGGCCTCCTCGTCAAGGAGGCCAAGATTGACGAAATGCCAGCGGAAGAGAGAAAGCAGTTGGCGCAGGCTGAAGTGCAGAGACGCAGATGTACCATGCTTCATCACCTTGTTGTCAGTCAGCTATATGAGAACAGGTCGAAACCATTCAGCAGATTTCGTGGTTGCTGTATTTTTCCCTGGGGGCCCCGTCTCTTGACAGCTATATGGCCATGCACATCCATTTGCCACCTATTTTGATGTTCACCAGGGGTACAGGGTTTTGACCCACAGCCGTATAGTCATAGCAAAGCAGCTTGGGAGCGCAAAGCGCATCAGGAAGTGCAGAAGGATGCCAGTGAGCTGGTCCAGCCTCAGCAGCTCATTGAGGCGGACGGACGGACTTGATGTGTGCGCCCCTGTGATGAAGCAAAGCTGCCCAGGTGGTCGCCGAGCTGAAGCCTGAAGAAAGAGAACAAGTCACGGAGGCGTTGAGAATCCGAGGTTTGATGTGTGCATTTCAAGGAAAGTCAATGTAGATTGTACACGTTATGGGAGTTGGGATGGAAGCTTGTACTATGTTGCTGGATTGGTTGTCGTCAGACGGCTGAAACACTGCATTGGGTTAGTGGGGCTTTGCCATGGCGACCGTGCACAGCTCCATCCCGGCATATTCGGTCCAACCCTGAGCATTGAGAGTTGGATGACGCTTGATTTTACTCGCTAGACATGAGCTTTGAGGTGACAAATGTGAGCAGTCCAGCGTCCCTGCCTTAGTGAGGATGTTCCAGCTGCTGCTTCATGCTCCTCCCTAAGGCCATACCAGTCGCAAAGTGTTCCTTGCTATGGTGGGAATGGGTGGATGCCTTGGCAATGCTTTCCAAACGAGATGCCTTCGAGTTGAGTTTCAAGGTCGTACGTGCCAGCTGTAACACCACAGGCGGGTGGCAAACGTTGCAGATGCGCAGATTCTTGCTCTCTGAAGCGGAAGTGTTTGAAGTGGCATGCACCACAGCGAGCGAGAAAGGTGGGCGTCTCGACGTGCAAAGCTTAATTGCTTGGGCAGTCGCTGCGCTGAAGCTGTGACATCTTCGACTTTGAGGTCATATGTACCACCAGTGGCACCCGGGCCTGGACAGGCATCGTCGCTCGGCGCAAAAAAAGTAGGGCCCCAACATCAGGCGGGATGAGACTCTCATCTCCATCAATGTTCACATGTTAGCGAGTGCAGCCGTGCAGATGGTCAGCAGAGGTCTGTGAGCTTGACGGAAGGGATTCCGGATCCAGACTCTATAGAGCAGCCTGGTGCTCAGAATTGTTGCTTCAAGCACCTGCTTTAAGTCTCGTAGTAAGGCAGAAGCGTGCATATGAGCGTGGACTAGATGCTGAACTAGAGCAGTGGCAGCCTCGCGTGCAAGCTTTCTTTGGTGGATGCTGGCAGTTTGAGTTGAGCAGCTTAAACATGATCCCAAGTCAAATTCAAGGACACGCAAGCTGGCAGAAGAGCAACTTAAGCAGCCGGTCTGGCAGGGTTACCCGCCTGTCTCATGCCAATCAGCCAGGTTTTCATGCCGCCAGGCAAAAAGCTGCCATCAAAGCCGCTGCCGAGCAACAGCTAGCCATGTACAAGGCCAGAGGGCTACATCTACACTCAATGACTCAAACGCGACTCATATACACTGTCGTGGGGGTTGGTCCCCCCAAATGACCATGGGTAACTTTTCCCATGGTGGGACATATCATCTTTTTAGTGGTTTTCCAACCCCATCTATCACGGACCTTTTGGCGATTTGCATAGGCCCAGGTGGAGCAATCCATCAAGCAGCAGGAGCTCAGCCACGCGCTTGTGCGAGCTATGAAGCTGAACGTGCTACGCACATAGTACACATATTTGTTTAATGTTGGAACATGTGGAAACATGTACACACTGTGTAGGCAATGCTTGGCCAACATGGCGTATATGCCATTTTGGCTCAAGCATTGCCTTGGGTTTGTTG